CACGCACTCCTCCGGACCTGGGCTACATCCTCCGTGAATTTCACTCATGGGAAATGAAAGACAAAAAAGTTACGGCCTGCGTAAAAGGGGCTTGAGCTCCAAAAGCGTGTGTGCCTGGGAATACAGGGAGAGCCTCCGGAAATTCGTTAAAAATCAACGCAGAGGCCCAGAGACTCGCGGTCTGGACCCAGGGACTCCCCTGGTCCAGGGGTACCCGCGGTGTGAATTTGACGCGCGGGGGACAAAGGACCAGAAAGTTATGGCCCTTGGAAACCACCGGGGGACAGCGCGGCCGTGTCCGCTCACGAGCGCCTATTCTCGGTCAAGAAAGTGGCGGTTTCTCGGGCCCGTAGAAGGCGAACCACGGGGGCTAGAGACATGGGGTTTGGACCCACGCACTCCTCCGGACCTGGGCTACATCCTCCGTGAATTTCACTCATGGGAAATGAAAGACAAAAAAGTTACGGCCTGCGTAAAAGGGGCTTGAGCTCCAAAAGCGTGTGTGCCTGGGAATACAGGGAGAGCCTCCGGAAATTCGTTAAAAATCAACGCAGAGGCCCAGAGACTCGCGGTCTGGACCCAGGGACTCCCCTGGTCCAGGGGTACCCGCGGTGTGAATTTGACGCGCGGGGGACAAAGGACCAGAAAGTTATGGCCCTTGGAAACCACCGGGGGACAGCGCGGCCGTGTCCGCTCACGAGCGCCTATTCTCGGTCAAGAAAGTGGCGGTTTCTCGGGCCCGTAGAAGGCGAACCACGGGGGCTAGAGACATGGGGTTTGGACCCACGCACTCCTCCGGACCTGGGCTACATCCTCCGTGAATTTCACTCATGGGAAATGAAAGACAAAAAAGTTACGGCCTGCGTAAAAGGGGCTTGAGCTCCAAAAGCGTGTGTGCCTGGGAATACAGGGAGAGCCTCCGGAAATTCGTTAAAAATCAACGCAGAGGCCCAGAGACTCGCGGTCTGGACCCAGGGACTCCCCTGGTCCAGGGGTACCCGCGGTGTGAATTTGACGCGCGGGGGACAAAGGACCAGAAAGTTTGGCCCTTGGAAACCACCGGGGGACCGCGCGCCTGCCATCCGCCCAAGAGCGCTCCTTCTGGGGGAGGAGAACCTCGGCTTACATGGCTCGTAGAAAACGAACCATGAGGGCTAGAGACACGGGGTTTGGACCCACGCACTCCTCCGGACCTGGGCTACCACCGGGGCGGGCTTTGCTCCCGCTCAGATCCGGGCCTGGGCGCCCATTCCCGGGGGAAGTAAGCCCCGCTTTCCGGGCTCCTCAAAGCCTAAACACTTAGGTTTTTTTCTCAAAACACTTAGTCTGATTTTCAACGTGTGCCTGGTCCTACAGTCTAGACACTTAGGTTTTTTTCTCAAAACACTTAGTCTGATTTTCAACGTGTGCCTGGTCCTACAGCCTAAACACTTAGGTTTTTTCTCAAAACACTTAGTCTGATTTTCAACGTGTGCCTGGTCCTACAGCCTAAACACTTAGGTTTTTTTCTCAAAACACTTAGTCTGATTTTCGAAGTGTGCCTGGTCCTACAGCCTAAACACTTGGGTTTTTTTCTCAAAACACTTAGTCTGATTTTCAACGTGTGCCTGGTCCTACAGCCTAAACACTTGGGTTTTTTTCTCAAAACACTTTCTGCACACCCACACATACACGTTTTTGTTACCTGGTGGGTCCCTTTGACAGGGCCGTTCAGAATGGGACCCATAGACATAATCTTTTTTTACCAAGACTTTAAGTAATACAAAACAGTCAATAGAAACCAAACAACTATTTTAAAGGAATTTTATTTTAGATTTTGTTTTCGAATTGCAGTGATTCTATTTTTGACATAGAATTTAATGCCACTCCATGTCCGATGTCTAAGGTCATCTGGTGAGGCATTAATGCAGGCCAGGCAGTGAGACTTCCCAGGGACCTTTCCAGTCTGTATGAAAGGTGTCATGGTCTTCTCCACAGCCTTCACCTCAGATGCAGACCATGGCTTTCTTACACGTTCTAGGGAGAGAAATAAAAATATATTAGCAATATACACTCCCATGGTGAGGACCAAGCAGCCTGGCTGTAATCCCCCACCTGGTACACTTACCAGAAGGGGCACTGCCACTACCATGGGGTGCATCTGGATGAATGGTTGAAGGTTCTCCGCTTGAAGTTTCTTTTAGCCCGTCCGTTTGTGAGAGGATCTCTACTGCTCTCCCTGTCGCACAGAAAATAAAAATACAAGTGGCCTTTAGGGGAAAAAAATCATACATATTTTAATAATATCAAGAATTACCTTCAGGCTCAATTTGTATCTGGTCGAGGCTCTTTCCTTCGAATTCCGTCACTCTTCCCTGCTCCATGGCCATCAACACTTTGCTGATTTTGGCCACTCCAGTGTCCCCTCTGGTAGTCTGTAATATTGCCTGTGGATGCGAATGTCATGGCCGAGGAAGTTGGCAAGTATGTCCATCTCATTCTCTTTCATATTGAGAACTGTAGACATAGTAGCTATGTGCTTTCTAAGTTTGGTTGAGGATAGCATCTCTGGATGCACCGCACCACATTCTTTGGCTACCTGGCGTAGGGAGTCTGATCCCCTGATGTGGGTGTCTGCGCCCGGGCGGGAAAAGAAGTATGGGTTATGGTCAGAGATGGAACAGGCCCTTCTGTTCTCCACCAGCACCTCCATCGAAGCAATCATTTCAGGAGTCAAAAGAACCGGCACTTTCCGACTTCTTTTCCCTTTAATTTCAATGCGTTGAAAATGCTGACACAGCTTTTTCTCAAGTTGGGACAGTCCCAGAGCAATGTCAGAATGGATCCCAGTCTTACTTCTTAAGGTAAAGGCTGTCAGTGGCATCTTTGAAACCTCACCTTCCCTTCTTCGATTGAAAATGATGACCTCACAAAGAGTCAAAACTGCCAGTTTAGACCAATGCTTAGACGTTGGCTCACTTATTAGGGTTTGCACATATTCAGGTCGACATACCTCAATATGTGCATGCATGGCTCTAACGTCCTCAGTCAGAGGGAGCAGGTCCGGAGTGTTCCACTTGGCTTGCCGGAGGGTCTGTAGGGCAGCAGAAGAAACACAGACGTCCCACCTCTTCTCAAAAAGCAGCCGGCTTCGTTGGAGGTTTTTAATAAATAGTTCATCAACACAATGCTCCATTTTTGAGTCACATTCAAGAATATCTGCTAGCTTTCTGAGGCTATGGCCGAGTTTGAGGGCCAAGGATGGAGTCTTGTATTGATTTGTTTCCTCATCATATCCAGCCACAGACCTGACTGCATCAATCACATGGTTAAAGTTGGAAGGAATAAAGAAATCCTTAATTGTTTTCAGTTTCCCTGCGGTTTTTGCTTCGTTAATTAACCTACCGACTTCTCTCATTTTCTGCCTAATGTAATCATGCTTTGTCTTATCATGCCCGTGTTTTAAGTACAGGTGCTCTCCGAGTCTCAGAATCCCCTTTTCTGCTTTGACAACACCCGTGACCTCATCCTGATGCATTGCCGAAATTAAAGACCACAGCTTTTTGCTGATGCCCTCCGGTACAGGCTGGGCTAGGGAGCAGAGGGACTGGACCCTACTTCTACCTGGTTTAGCCTGGGCATCTTTCTGTGAAAGCCGGCACCTGGCCACATGCCTCCACAGCGACTTTCGCTTAAGCAATGCCCCACAGTCTATACAGTGCAAAAACTCACTGGATTTAACTGGGCAATTTGGCTGTTTAGCTGGGACTAAAGTTCCAATGCCGGCCTTTAAAACCTCAAAATTGTGCTCACGGTTTCCACTATTCCTGATCAAATCAAACTGAAGTTTACGTGCTTTAGATTTCACAGGTAGAGCCAATGCTCTGGCTACGTCACTTTCATTTCCATGTTTTCTAGTCAAATGACGGGACATTTTGTGGCAGGACATTGAACAGTAGAGGCAGAAGTGTCTCTTGCTGTATACTCGCCCCCCATTTTTCTTCTTTTGCAGCTGCATGATAACAATCTTATTTGCCTTTGGTTCGTCACTTTCCGAGTCTTGAAGAAAAGTGTTTTTGATTTTTCTTTTTCCATACTTTTTTACAGGTTTCTTCTTGACAGTTAAATCGTCAGAATCTGAGTCGACTTCATCAATTAGGGACTCTTGACTAAGCTGCACAAACAACAAATAATTTGTAATCATTCTATATAACAATTTGAAGTCATGACTTGTAGTCAGCACTTACCAGTGGTTTGTAAGCGTGCGCTTCAGTGTGCTCCTCCATGATTTCTTGCAGCCTAATGAACCACACACTTGCACCTTTTTCTAGCCTGACACCTGATTTCCTCTGTTGTGCTGCTCCATGATTGGCTCCAGCCTGCTGGACTGAAATTGCCCCAGTGTGCCCCTCCTTGATATCCCGCAACCCACCACCAGGGTTCCGACACATAACACACTTTTTTCAGGAAAGTAAACCTCCAGGGGTCCTTTCCATATTTTTACAGAGACTGCATAAGGACCGTTAGAAAAGCATTACCCATTGATTATTAAGCTTGGACCAGTGGGGTCCGGTGTTCGGGCCCCACCACGTAAAACCAGTCCCCATGACGTGAGTGGAATCTCAGGTTATGGAACCCACCAGGAGTTGAAAACAAGTGCACACACACACACACACACACACACACACACACACACACACACACACACACACACACACACGCACACACATACACATACGAGTCTGGTGCTAAGAAAACATACGATACAATTTATTGCATGGCCACACAGTTTGTAAATAAATATACTACTGAGCAAATACAATCTATTGTAAATATTTAACATGGCTGATGTATAATACAAAATGTAGTTTACATCAATAAATAACTAGTAATATAGCAATAAATAAATCAAACATGTATTATCATTTTTATTATCTACTGCTTAATATGTAATATAATGACACATCTTTATTTGCAGTTTGGATTGTTATAGTACTATATTTGTTGCATGAAAAGCTCCTTCATGCATGCTCCAGTGCTGAGTCCATTTCAGTTTGTTTGAAGCATGCGGACTCCAGATGCTTGTTGAGGTAGGACTTGAGTGCAAAGCTCTTGTGGCAGCGGCTGCAGGAGTAGGTTTTGAAGGCAGAGTGTGTCTGCATGTGGGCTCTGAGGTTTGAGCGATCAGCAAAGGCTTTCCCACAGTGCGAGCAGGCGAAGGGCTTCTCTCCTGTGTGAGAGCGCATGTGTCCCTGCAGCAGCCAAGGCCGGCTGAACGACTTCCCGCACACACTGCACTGGTGCTTCAGATTGTGAGTGAGAAGGTGCATTGCCAACGCAGGCATGGACACGTACTGCTTGTGGCAGGTGGGACACTGGCGGGCTTCCTGCCCGCTCAGGCTGCGGTGGGTCTGCTTGTGTCTACTTAGATTGGAGGAGGTGGCGTATGACTTGTCACACTCACTGCACTTATAGCGACCTTTAGTCTTCCCCTTGTCCTGGAAACACCGATGTGTGTGGCTCAGAGACTCATCTGAGGAATAAGATAACTCTGATTCCAGGCTGCTGTCTGACTGAGTCGTACAAAGGGACACAGGGCTATCCGGGTGTCCCAGGTCATTGTCTGAGAAATCCCCTGCTGTGCTCCCCCCTGAGCCACAGGGCGAGTGAAGTGGGGCCTCAGCAGCACAGGGGTGGTCACTTCTCTGTTGCAGAGAAGGAAAGACATAGGCCTGGATGTATCCTGAAAATACACATTTATTCAGGTTAAATTTATTTATTTCATATTAATCTTCTTTTCATCTTTTAGGGATGATTTACTCACATATATTATTTTTACTGTTATTGTCTTTGTATAGCTCTGCTATTTGAGAACTACAGCAGAAATGCCATGGTCAAAAAACATTCCACCATGTATATAACATAAGAAACAGCCATTAAATATGTAAGTGACATGTCAACAGTGGGTCACAAAATCAATGGATTTCCTCAACAGCCTTTTTGCGGAATTGGAGTTGAACTCCAAAGGCGGAACTGGGGTGACACCCCCCATAACCCCACACCACCAACACAAAGACAGGCAGACAGATGGCCTTTCTAATCTCTACATACACAATCAGCCTGAAACCACTTTCATCAGTCAGCATTGAGTTTACATTTCACATTTAAATCTATACCCATCAATCCCCAATGTCTAAGAAAATCAATGTAGACACAGCAGGCACCTGCTTCCTGCAGAGTGGTTCAGTCAGTATTATTTTTATATTTGTATTTTTGGAGAAACTTTTGACAGAGGGGAGTCAAAGACCTGGGATAGATTCACACATGACTTGGGCCAAGTACAACTTTAAATGATGTCATTTTCAAAACATGGATAACATAATTCCAACTGTCTGTCTGCAATGAATAAAACTATCCCCAACACTAATATGTATCGAACATGTGCCCTACAGATTTATCACACAACCCCTATCTCAAAATCACTAATTGTAAATAGAAATTCATTTTGAAACTGCTGTTCAGTTGAAGTTTGTGTCACATTTCCTTAATCTTCTGGAGTGCACTTAATGTTAGCTTTTATTAGGATGCAAATGATGTGTCTTTAATGTTGAACAATGCTACAATAAAGATATCCTTCACTCCACTATTTTAAAACATTTATTTTTTTAACACAATTATCATTAGACCGTTACCAATTATAATTTCAACACTTACCATTTTGGCTCAAGCATTGAGCGAGGCGTGTGGTTGACTCTGCAATGGCATGTGTCACTGTGCTGTTGTCCCAGTGCTGGTGATGGTAACCTCCTGAAGAAGTCAAATCAGTTCCCTTTGTTTGCTTTACCAAAAAGGAGCGAGGCATTCTAGGCAATTTTAGCTTCTGTACTAAAGTAATAAACAGGTTTCTTCTCAAAAACACAGAGGAGTGTGTGGCCAGAGGAAAGCAAAAAGTGCTCTGAGTGGAGGGACAAGGGGAGGCAGACAGCTGAGCCAAGCACTAAAGCTGCAGAGGGCTTCTATACGTGGTCTGTCCCGGTCCCAAAGATCAGCTGGTGTGGTTGCCGTTAATCCATCAAACATCCCTAGGGACACACATCAATTTAGCAGCAGTCGTCTGTGCTCTCCCCCTTTCACCCCCAGAGAGAGTCCAGGACAATGGTGTGGTGGAAGCAGGGCGCGTGTGTGTGTGGGCAGGGGGGACGCATGGACCACTATTGTCTTTGAATGAAGTTCTCAATTGTCACATCTTTGACAGAAACCGTGTGAAATGCACAACTAAAAATATTCACACTCATTTAGAATTGTGCTCTTGAAGTCAGAGATTTGTACACTTCTGCAGCATGTGCCTACAAGTGCCCTGAGTGAGGTTGACGGAAGTGAGAGACAATAACATTTAGACCACATAGTAAAAATCATATTAAATCTTTATGTGTATAGCAGTAGGAACAGTAAACAGTGGAACATTAAAGTACAACATCTGACCAGACTGACCTGGTATTCGGAAATCCAGATGTCATTGTAAGAGAGGTTCATTCTTGTGGACAGAAGTCAGGATACAGCTTGTACAAAAGCATTTTTATCGAGTCAGCATACGGAGTGGTACAAGGGATCTGTCTAGCAACAGTTCATTCATGGGCTCATCCATCACTGTCCTATTCCAGGACACTGGGCATGTGCTCCTCTGTCCACAGAACACACACCTTATCAACAATACAGTAGTGGATTTTTAACTGTCACTCTAAATTCTACTCAGAAAAGTGAACTCACCCAGAAAAGTGAGTTCAATTATGTTTATTTCACATTTATGATACCTGCCATTAAAACATATATAGTATTAGTCTGAAATCTACTTCATTACACTTTGTATGTATTTTTTATTAAACCTTTTTTAACCAATAAAAATCCCATTGAAATTAAAAAGCTCTGTATGCTCATAGCACCAGTCCATCGCTGATCTTCCTGCAGGTGGTGGGTCCACCGTCCACAAGAAGATGGCTGCTGCTCCGTCATCAAAGACACGGCCTTGGTGTTTCAGCAGAGGCTTTCGGGCAACATGGGATTGAGTGTCTTGCCCAAGGACACAACGACAGCAGACATCAGTGGGAGCAGTTGGACTAGGCCCAAAGGCCAACGCTCTATCTACTGAGCCGCTCTTACCCTCCAATTAGATTCTATTTATTTTTTTTAGCCCAAAATCACAACAGTCATCTCAAGGACTTTTCAAAGTTGTCAATTCGCCAACAACAGATCAGAAAATCAAACAGCTTGAACACAGAAATACAATAATAACACATATTGGTCCATAGGGAGTGGGATGTCCTGAATCATCTCTGTCCTTATACCTTTCTGTATCGGCAAGGAACAACATCCCATCCATCCATTTCTGGGTCGGGGGGGTGGCAGTCAGAGCTGCACCCAGTTCACAGAGCACCAGCCCCTCACTGATCCTCCTGCAGGTGGTGAGTCCACAGGAGCCTTGATTATTCAGTGGGGGCTTCAGGCAAAGTGGGGTTAAGTGTATTGCCCAAGGACACAACGACAACAGACATCAATGGAAGTCGTGAAGTAGGTCTAACACAAAAACCCAGTAGGAAAAAAGTGAGAAACCTTGGAAGCCTACAAAGTTACACATTGAACAGAAATATATCTGCATCACATTAAAATGACATGTGGACACATAAAAACAATTACAGATTGTACAGTAATATTTATAATTAGTTACTTTCTACATCCTAGGACATATTCGGTTGTCTACTGAAGATGACATAATGGATTTTATATACGTAAATACAGGTCAATTGTTCTGTGCAGTTCTATTCTGCTGAATTGTAAAAGAATGTCATCAATATGGCTTATTTGCAGTGGACACTTCAGACACCCATGTAGTTAACCATTACAGTCGTGGTCTATTGGTTGGAGAAATTCTATAGTGTGAGCATCTGCTGGGGAGGAGCACACAGTGAACACCACTCACCTTTAGTGCACATTTGCCTTTTACGGAACAGAGCATACACAAATTTAAGTAATGACAATAATATGGCGTTTTATCAGTATGAGATCTAATAAAAGTCTAAAATTGCACATTTTGAAAGTCCAAACATCAGATTTGGGTGATCATTGAGTACTATGAGGACAAACATATTCATCTATTATGTCTATTATGTCTACTGTATGTATTATGCCAGCTACCTCTTGAATGTTTAGACATTTTGTTACGTCAGAACCATAAATGTTTTTAGTTTCATTTTGCCAGAAGACAAATGTGAAGTGAAAGCAATCATACATGATTTCATTTTCAAAAATCTGCTTTGAACATTTCACAAAGCACATGTTTTATCCCTGATCCGGGATTGCAAACCTACCAAGACACAGCCATCGGCCCAACTTGCATGGGGTCTTTCTGTTAGCCCCTTGTAGCATGTGAGCACTATAATGTAAAAGGTGGGAATTTAACTTTTAAACCAAAAATTTCTGTCTCTGCATACTTGTTAGAGCCTTTTAAGTCACCATCTGACTTTTTGGGTTGACAGCGGACAGAATGGTCCTCTCCTTTTCACGTTTCTGCCTGAAAAATCAGATGTGACGGGGGGGAAAAAATACAAGAATGTATCGTAGTGATAGAATCAAATTAAAAGTTTGTTCCATAGCTTTAAAAGAAAAGTAGGTAATAGTTTAAGAAAGTATCTCGTATTAATCACTTATTTTTTATGGCCATATTAAGTGTCAAACTAGGAATAAAGTAAAAATAGAAAGCTTAAAATGTTTGTATTTTGTATTATTGTGAATCTATTTCAATTAGTGGTGCTATGAGACTTGGGTGGCATCTCTGATTGCCACCCCCCTGACCCAGAAATGGATTAAAGGGTAGAAAATGGATGGATGGATATTTCAATTAGACTTATATGTCACCCACATGAGTTTGCTCATTTCCTGTGATGTCATTAAGTCCCAAAGCTGCCAGATTGAAGTTTGGACTTGTGAACTCTGCCTTGTCCACGTCTGCAGCCTCGATTATGATAAATATCTAAAGGAAATTGACACACACACACACACGCAAAAGTAATGACATTTATTACAATAAACAAGCAATGGTCCGACGCAGTTTGAATCCCATTATAAAATACACATCCAAAGTCGTACAACCCACAGTGAACAAATGCAATTAGAGAAAATGTACATGTCCAAAAACCCAAAAAGATGAATAAACAGCAAAAATGGAGACAGACTGCAGTGAACCATCCTACCTAAACACCACCCATTCTTCTCTCAAATAAGACATAAGCAGTTCAATGTACCGAGAAATCCTCAGGGATGCAAAATGGACCCAACATTGGCAACTTTCACAAAATATATTAGATTCAACATAAGATTTCTGTTTTATTCAGACGTTTGCAGCCCTCTGACATTGTGTTTTCTGCCACAATTCTCCCAATGGAATAGTTCATAAGTCTAAATAAATACTGACAGATCACACAATGCAAGTTCCAAGTACAAGAATATAGTTGAAAACATGTAAAAGAAAGATAATCTATGATTTTCTGTGTTTATAAAAGTAGTTTATTTTGTTTCAATGCTAATTCCAACCCAAATTTATGTTAAATCACAGGCACAAAAAGTTATGTTTAAAGAAAACCATAGCTTGGCCACCCTGCATGTAGGGACAGTAACAGTAACAGGGAGCTAGCCCAGCCATAGTTTTTACAAAATGATGTTTGGAAACTGGCCAGAGAAGGGGACGTTAATATAGAAAACCTTGGACACCATTTTGGGAGATTGAATTAGACTAAATTAGAACTCAATGGAAATATAATAAAAATCATTCAGACTCAGTAAAAATACACTCATTCTTGGAGAAGCAGCCATTCCAACCAAGCAGGAGCACACCGGATTTCCTCAAGTCTTCGGGTTGAAGTCCTGCCTGGTTGGAATGAAAACCCGCAGCCACACCGGCCCTTTGAGGACCGACGGCCCCGATTTAGAACAATACTGCGCTCTAGAGGAATGGATGTGTCTCAGTGAGTTGGAAAGTTGGTGGACGAGGCACTGGTGAGGACCCTCTCTGTTGAATGATGGTGTGAGGAGGGGGAGGATCAGCTGCTGTACACCAGGCCTTCAGGCGGCTGGGACAGTTTGCAGTTCTCCTTTGCCATCATGTTGTGTCTGAGCTCTTTCAGAACCGTCCGGATGTAATAAGAGTTCTTCCATCGAGACAAAGATGGCACTGCCTTTGCGTCCACCTGCATTTGACGAGATATGAAAAACAAAATGCAAACTGTCAAAACAAAGAATTTAAAACAAAACAATTGTTTCATAAACTTATTATTTGATATGATTTAGTGTCATTTGAGCCAACTCAACAGCAAGCTCAACAATTATTTCAGTCCAAGAGCATAGAGGCAATTTTAAATCTGGGGCACCTAATTTTGCATGTGGCAAAATCCATCCAAGTACTTATTCCTCGCTCTCAAAACTGTTTTGTTTGATCACTGTTTTAAATGTATTTTGTCCATAGTTATAGTGGACTAATAGTCTATTTCAATCTGCTCTCAGCCCAAAACCTCAAATATATTTTTGAACAGCCCTAAATCACATCAGCAGCCGTCTCCGAGGACTTAGGACTTAGGTTTTGCCTGAGCACATTTTGTGGTCACATTTTTCTTTTCAAGACTTTCCGTTGGGAAAAACAAAATGTATCATTCATGAAAATATATTTGGGTAACCTAGCTCCAAAGACTGAAACAATTTGGTCTGAAACAATCCAATCAAAAACAGTTTGCATACATCTCATGTTTGAAGGAGTAGTGTGAAAAAATCTGGTCAAAAGTGGTGCTGCAACTTTCCCACTTGCCCTGACTCAGGTTGCCAGATATGCAGACGAAGCCAGCTGGGAACATAATATCTGAATAGACAAGAGTTTTGTCCACAAAATTTTTTATAATAAAACACATTTTTCACAAAGATAGAAATATTTGATCTAATAATTTTAGACTCAGAACAAGACATTTTTTAGTACTGCTGCCACATGTTACTTTACTAGTGTGATTAGCTCGGCGAAGTTCTGGCAACCCGGATTCTGGACTTTCTGATTGGTAAAACGGTGGAGGGCGGGACATCGAAATGAAAACATTAACAAGCTTTAAGGGATTTAGGGGCAGTAATTTTTAAATAAAAAAGTTGATCTACTGTCATCAGTTAAAGAAGTATTTGAAAAGGGCATGGTTTATCCTTTTGACAGATTAGGGCCATTTTACTATGACTTGACATGAAAATCTTACATATTGCTACTTTAACAGTCATTCAACATGAGAAACGCATATGCAAATGATATCTACATGATATCCCATACAAGAGGCCTTAAATCATGGTCTACAAGGGTTGGAGTGAATGGAACAGACACTGAAGTAACTCGCGTAAGCTAAAGCGGCTTGCTAGCACATGCACACACTCACCGCTCCGGTCGATCTGTGCACACCGTTCATGTTGATCTGAGTTATGAAGCGCACCACAGGAGGTTGCTCTGGATATTTGGGTCCACATTCAAGCTTCAGGCTGTATATTCTGTTTTCAAAAGAAGTCTGCAAAAACATACAATATATAGAAATTTATGTGAATATTTTTAACAAACAAAAAATAATCAAGCAATGTGTACGTTTCTGCCCAGTAGAGGGAGTGTGTGTCGCTTTTGGCCTCTCAAAAAGGCATCGAGTTACAGATGTGTAATTTCCATATGATCCAGAAATCAGGGTTTAGACTTAGACTTTAGACTTAGACAGACTTTATTGATCCACAAGGGAAGTTGTGTTGTCACAGTAGCTTGCATAGTATTCCACAAAAAATAACAATAAAGTAAACAACCTGATAATAATAATAATAATAATAATAATGAGATACTGTGAGAATACAATAATATGGCTATAGGTACTCAGGTCCTTTTTATGTGAAATATCTACATTTTAGTTTAGATTTTTTCCCCGCTCTTTTCTTGTTACACAGTGAACGCCATTACAAGTGCAACATAACCCCACATCAATAAGGAGCTGCACAGGTGCTAAACACTGGACACATATGGCCCCTTCAGGCCATAGCTTGGACATGCTGCTTTAGAATAATAAAAAAATCTAGCGCTTTTTAAACAAGAAATGCAATGAAGTGCTTTACAGTTTCGAAGAGGTTATGGGATTGCTTCATCTGACTTTATGCTTTTGACATTTACTTTCTTTGCGTTTGATCTGGGGTGTCCAAAGAGTAATTACTGCCTTTAGTTAATTATCATTCACCTGCAACTAAACCTGTCCTTCTGCCCATTATTTACACATTTATAGTTCTCAAATCACCAGTATACATCCCCATTTAATATTTCATGACTACAACCATTTAGTTTCCCTTTTATTTCCATCTTTGTGTTATATGACCTTGTTTTTATAATTGCCAACTTTCTTGCATCTCACAAGCAAGACTATAAATGACTATAAATGTTTGAACTTTGTCTTATATCAACAAGAATGCATTTATGTATCACTTGTCAACAGTCCTAAACAGTTTCCTCCTAAACATTATTCAATACATTCCATAAAACCGGTTAAGCAGGAGAGGTTGGATTAGAGCAGTGACTGTACACTTTGGCTTTGTCTCATATTCTCGCTTTACTGTTAAGCACTAAAATGCAATACAGATGAAAATACAGTCCTTAATGCCTCTGAGAAGATTAACATATCTTAGATTATACTCAATTGTGAAAATGTTTTATTATTTTTCTAAAAAAGGTTTAACCAAAAACAGGAACTGATACCTTTGGTGGTCCAAAGATTACACCTGTCCAGTACGTCAACGTTCTGTCCTCATCATCTGCCAGGCCCCAGCTCACTGTGCCGTCCCCGAAGCCTTTCTGGCCCTCATCCAACTCCTCCAACAAACGGAAGCTTCTAGGAACCACAACACCTTCACACAAGAAACAAAATAAATATACGGCTTGGGCTGTGGTTGTGATTGACTCACATATTGTTGGCATATTGTTCCATATATGGTGACAAAGATCTCGAAAGTGAAATATTGTCTTAAATTTCTTTTCTGTAGTAACACAAATATTGTTTTTAAATCTGTTGCGTTAGCCCCTGCTATCATACACCCCTGGACTGTTATAAGAACAATTTTCTCCCCCCAGCCATAAGGCTGATGAATGAATCCTAATTTTGTTTTATTTAAAGAACTGTGCCTTCCTGTACATTTTTTTGCATTATGAAATACTTACAGCGACAGGGAGTGGCTGTCGCTTTAACTTAAAGCGAAACTTAACCAACTTGTGTATCTCATGGCATTCCCATGAGATATTTGATCAGGTACAATGCACAAGGCAAGGCAAGTTTATTTGTATAGCACAATTCATACACATGCAACTCAAAGTGCTGAACAAGAAAGCATTAAAATCATAAATAATCACAGAACATTAAAGAGAAAGATAAAAACATAAAATCCCTCAGTTGTATGCACAGCTAAACAGAACCGTCTTTAACCTGGTTTTAAACATTGTCAGAGAGGAGGCCTGTCTCACATCTTCAGGAAGATTGTTCCAGGTTTTAGCAGCATGAATCTGAAAAGCAGCCTCCCCATGTTTAGTTCTGACTCTGGGCACTAACAGGAGTCCAGTCCCTGTGCTCCTCAGAGTCCGGGCTGGTTCATATGGGACTAACATGTCACTAATATATTTTGGTGCGAGGCCATGGAGAGACTTGTACACAAGCAGAGCTGTTTTAAAGTCTATTCTCTGAGCCACAGGAAGCCAGTGCACAATACAAATTTCCACCTGCAGTCCCTAGACAGGTTGATGATATAGTTAGTGATTACCCTCGCCTCCCATCTCGCCACACCAAGACCTGCCCACGTCTCCTGGGCTCAGATCACAGTCCACAATTTTCATCCTTTAGGACTCATGGACATGTTCAAGCGTCTTTGGGCCAGAGGCTACAGTCAGTTCTAATTAGTTATTTACTCAGCAGTCTGCACGCCGTTCGCTTATCCTTCACATAAAGATAAGAGTTTATAAAGAATGGAGTTAAGTGTCTATGACACTGTTTTGTTATTTGTGCCATAGCATTGAGATTTCGTTAGGTGTGCCTTGGGAAATAATCCAATATCAAATAATTGGTCAAAATAATGTGAAAAAGAGAAGATTAAAACACTTTTTTTGCCCTCATTTGATTTTCTCTCAGATCTGACCAGTGGTATAAAGTTAGGATTTACAAAATTCATATATTGTCTTGTGAGCATGAAACAAGACAGGCAGGTGACACCTCCAGGGCCATTACATTACAGAGAGGCGACACAGCTCACAGTGATCTAGTGTTCAAGCAATTTCACAATAACAAAAGGTCTCCAAATGAATTGTTCAGGATAGAGTCCATGATGCCAAACAAACAATATCTCTGTAGGATCACAATTATTGCCGCATGCAGAGCCTCGTACTTTGGTTGGGGGTTAATAAACCATGGTCCGTGAGTACGAATGGAATGATTATCACACGTATAATTTAATGACGATCACAAAGCAGACGGAGCAGAGCAGTGCCTGTTGTGACTGTGGCGGTGACGCGCGGAAGACTCCAGACTACAGCTCATATGGACTCAGGTGAAGGCGGATGGACTCCCCGCTCTCACGGTGTTCTACGGCGACATGGACAGTCCTTCTGGTCGTAGCCGTTCTTACAGTGTCCCCTAAAGCCTGCTCTAATCCCTTTGGTCTAACCCCGGTACGGGCTCTAAAGCTCTTACCTGAACCCGTGCAGGCCGCCATGTGAAAACTGTGGTTCCCGGAAGCGCCAGCACCGGGTTGCCAGATACGCAGAGAGAACCCAGCCCACTTTATTTGATCTAAATGTTATTTTTTTGTATTTAGAAGCGGTTTACTCTAATAACTATATATATTAGCTAGAACTAAATGTTCTAGCTAATATATAAATTTATTTTGCCGACGTTGAATTCATTTTCATTTATATTAGTATTATTATTATGCATTATGCAACGTTTTGCATGTTTTCTGATATGGCGGGAAGGTGTGTGAACATTAAAACCTTAAAAACCCAAACATTAGAACTACGCTCAGTCCTAGCCAGGCCTTACCACACCGTCGTACAAATTTCTTTCGTCCATGCAGGGAGATAATTGACCGCGATCAAGAGGGCACGTACCTCCTCTGTGTAGCGGAGGCGGAGCAGTAGCTCTACTCCAAGTTCCTCTCATGTGATTGAGCTGAAAGACACAGTATGACAAAGCCTGACTAGACTGCACGTGTATACGTATGAATAGTCAAACGGAAGATAATGTAATATGATTGATACAACTTTTGGTGATGCAAGATAAGATCACATTATTTGGCATGGATAGAATCACTCATATTGTGCAAAAAGACAGAAGTGTGCAACATGTAATTATGTACAATAAAAAAGTGGCAATAGTAGTGCTGGTTCTTCAGTCCTTGTGTATCATTGACTTAAAGTGACTTATTGTACAGTCTGACAGCGGTGGGGATAAAGGCCCTGCATGCGGTAGCGCTCCTTTTCACACTGAGTCTCAGTCTTCCACTGAGGGAGCTCCTCAGCTCCTCTACAGTCCTGTGCAGTCCATGATGGAGGTGACTTTGACTAGCACGCTCCTGTCCCTCACCTCCTCCACAGAGTCCAGGGAGCAGCCCAGAGTGGAGCTGGCCCTCCTGACCAGCTTGTTCAGTCTGTTTGTGTCCCGCTCTGTGCTGCCCGGGGCCCAGCACACGGCAGCTTAGTGTATGGCAGAGGCTACCACAGAGTCATAAAAAGTCCTGAGCAGAGGCCTGCTCACTCCGAAAGACCTCAGCCCCCTCAGAAGGAAGAGGCGACTTTGGCCCTTCTTGTGTAGGGCCAAGGGTGTTGTGGGACCAGTCCACTTTATTATTAATGTGAACACTCAGTACTTGAAGATGATGCAGTAATACGTTTGAGCACCTCTATTGTTGACCATAGACCATATATTACTATATACAGTCTTTTTTTGACTCAGAACCGCCTCTACTTCAATTATTGTAATTTCTATTAAAGCAACTACAAAGTTCTTTCAGTCTAGGGTCACACAATTGCTCATTTTCCTCACTGACAAACGCATTGAGGTATTGCTCCCGCTAGAGGTCAGCAAATCATATTTTCTACTCAACGAAATGTTCATGTCTGCTGCCTTTCAATGATAATCTTCACAGAACTGAATTAATTTATAATATGGGTAAACTGGTGTTATAGTATGATAATACAACCACTGAAGGCTATCCTCGAACACTTTAGGAATATGTTGTTTTTTTTTTTTTTAAATGGTGACACATAAAATGAACTATGATCAGATATGAAAACGCAGACTGAATTTATACAGTTTGAAGTGATTAACTTTCCTTGTGTTTTTCCTTTTTTGTTTTTTTTTGTTTTTACATTTCCTTGAGGTTGGCCATAGACTATGTGTGATTATGTAAATTTGAGTTGTGGTTGTAATGTGTGTATGCATGTATGTGTGTGTGTGTCTATATGTCTATGTGTGTGTGTCCATATTTCTATGTGTGTCTGTGTGTGTGTGTGTGTGTGTGTGTGTGTGTGTGCGCGCGTGCGTGTGTTTATTCAAATTGTTAACCGCGGGTAACCGGGGATTGCATGTAAAAACCATGGTCAAAATTAGCTAGTTACCTATAATCTGGTGAAGAACATAATTTTTTATTTTTTTTTCGAAATAAAGACTAAACTAGTCTAAACCATGATTTTACCTATCTTCAAATTGGTCAAGAGTCTGTAATAAAGTTGAATTGAATGGAATTTACCAAAACCGAGTGGTCCGTGAATGCAACACCGGGCCGGGGGCTGGACCACGGGGCTGGAGGAGAGACCTGCCTGGAGAGCGCAGCACACTGGACAAACTCACGCACAACTCTGGTCTTTCTCTGTAACAATTGCGTAACTCCGTGTGCGTGAGGAAAAGTGAGGTTTTTGTTGACTCGTATGTGGTGGACTACTCCGCGCTGGACCCGGTGGACCGCGGGAGGTTGTGACCGCGAGTTTAGCTCCGCAAGAGGAGGGGAAGCAGCGTGGTCTTGCCCCGGTGTAGAGGAGCGCACTTCTGTTGCAGACCGGGCAAGGTGAGTGCTCCTCTTACACACACATACCGATGGAAATAATGCCTCAACGGACACTGCTGTTGCACGGATTGCATTGGGTTATGTTCCGTTATTTGTACTGCCAAAGGAGCATTTTTTCTCACGTCGCACTCACTTATTCCATGGAAATCCCAGCAAACACACGGTTTGTCTGATTGAGCCATTCTAACAACATTATCCTGATCCTGGCACACTGAGCGGCCAGTGTTCTCACGGCTGCTAAATCACCCATTCACTCTCAGAAAAAGTTGTTTTCCTGCCTTTTAGTTGCTTTGCTGCCGATGACATCATTTACCCTGCGTATATTCATAACTATGTTAATATGGTGCGTTTCGTATTGTGTTCACATTATATTGGTATGCTATTCATATTTTCTTCACATCATGTTAAGCTTTAGCGCCACGTAATCCTTTTTTAATGTAACTTTCCATACAGCCATTTCAAACAGATCTGGCTAAAATAGATACATCAGTTGTAATAAAACCAATACAGACTTCTCACTGGTTTTTACTGAAGAGAGCACATCACCCCCGTTTTAGCATCCCTCCAATGGCTCCTTAGGCGTTTTAGAATTGATTTTAAGATTTTATTGATCACCTTTAAAGCCTGTTTTTTTTCTGGCACCAAGCTACATTTCTGAATTTTTATCCCAATACGAGGGTAGGTCCTTGTTTGCTGTTCTAAGGGCGAGGCTCTGGATGAAAGGTGATCGAGTCCTCGATCCGGGCTTCTCAGCTCTGGAATGAGGAGATAAGACTTGCGCCATCAGTACCTTATTTTAAATCACTTCTTAAAACCCACTTTATACGTTGCGTTTTAATGTTTCACATTGTTTTTGTTTTGCCTTCCTATTTCTGTGCTTAGATTCAGTTTATTTGCTTGCAGTAAAACCATATTGGAATACATGTGCAAAAGTAGCCCAGTGTGGACCAGACAAGTACATAAATAAAAACTACAAGAAGCAATTGTCACTGTGAAACCAATTGACAAAAATAACAAGTGCAGGATAATTTAAGTGCTTTATTCAGACTAACAGTGTGTGGAAAGAAGCTGTCGGCTTTATTTTCCTGTGTTTGTTCCTTTTTAATATGTTATGTTACGTTTTTATTATTTTCCATTTTTATTATTCATTTATCATTATTGTTATTAATATAGATAAATCACTGCTAGTGCGACAAAATAAAAAATAAGCAGGATTATTGACACATGTAAGTTCTATATCGTGCATTTCCTGGAACGTTGACGACCGTACAACATCACAGGATTCTGGTAACCATGGGGTTTTCTAATTGTACTGAATGTGTTCATAGAATAGTTCATAAAAAGTCAAAACAGTTGCAGAGGTGATTCAGTTGTGCCTTTCATCTGCTGTAGCCAAAGGTTTATTTATTTATTTATTTTTTTTTCTTTCTTTCCACAATCCAGAGCAGTGACCAGATCCTGCCCACAGCACAACCTGTTTGCTGGCATTTCAATCAGAACCAACTCCCATCACTTCTGGGCCGTACCATACAAAAACACACCACTAAAACACGTCCATACTGAAATAACATAACCGTATGTCATACATTATACTTGATTTTACATTTTTGGGTGTCTGCAGATATCAGTGCTGGGATAGACACAAAGCAGATTTTGCTGAACAAATATAGCTGATGTTTACATATCAACCAGACCACAGCCCTGGGGAGTGGTTCTCTATTGTAAGATTAAAGCAGATGGAGAGACTGGAATTAAGTGTCATCAAAGAAAAATGGCTGGTGGGAAGTAAGGTTTTGCGTATACAGTATATTGTGACGAGGATTTTTGGTGATCTCCATAGCTCTTTTGGCCAACTCCTCCGGAAAACAAAAACTTCTAAGGACCACGATACCTTCATAAAAGAAACAAAAGACGTATGTTTCAAATCACTAAAATGGGGACTATATAATAACTAGTTCCTCACACTCAAAACAGTTTGGATCCATTGCTAGTTTTCACATGCATGTATTTTTCGGCCTCACATTTCGGTCACATCCTCCTTTTTTTCAGACAGAAAAGTGAAAAAGAGAGGACCACTCCACCCCGTGTTGTATAGTGACTGAAGTATGCAACTTACATGTTTAAATGTTTTTACAATAATATGTTTTCTAAACTTTACTTTTTCTGTTGGGACAAACATAATGTATTTTTTATTTAGGTACCCAAACTTCAAACTGCTTGTGCTGTCCAAAAGTATCAAAATATGTGCATACAGTTCTAATCGATATAATGCTGTTGTATTGATATTTAGTTTTTTTCTGGCATTTGTCAACTAGACCATATTTTTTGGCTGTGGTTTTCTTTTGTTATATTATAGCAGAAGGTAGAAAATTAATTATTTCCATCCATCCATCCATTTTCTACCCTTTAATCCATTTCTGGGTCAGGGGGGTGGCAGTCAGAGATGCCACCCAAGTCTCATAGCACCAGCCCCTCACTGACCCTCTGCAGGTGGTGAGTCCACAGGAGGACGGCTGCTCTCTGAGTGTGAGCATAGCCTTGGTCTTTCAGTGGGGGCTTTGGGCAAAGTGGGGTTAAGTGTCTTGCCCAAGGACACAACGACAGCAGTCATCAGTGGGAGTCGGAATTAATTATGTCATCAAAGAAAAATA